TAACTGGACCAACCATTCTGGAGAATAATTTGGAACTATGATCAAAATTGTGGATATCCTTTGCTGCAGCAATTTCACCAAAGACATTAAAGGAAAAGGAAAAGGAGTAATATATACGAAAATATTTATAGCAGCTCTTTTTGTGGTGACAAAGAAGTAGAATCTGAGGGAATGCCCATCAGTTGGGGACTGGCTGAACATGTTGTGGCATATGATTGTAATGTCACACCATTGTGCTATAAGAAGTGACAAACAATATGCTTTCAGAAAAAAACATGGGAAGACTTATATGAACTGATGCAAAGTGGAATGAACAGAACTAAGAACGTTGCACATATTAAAGGCAACATTTTAATGATGATCAATTGTGAAAGAAATAGCTACTTTAATAAATACAGTGATTCAAGACAATTCCAATGGGCTCATGATGAAAAATACTAGTCACCATCAGAGAGAGAACTGATAAACTCTGAGTACAGCTTTATGTATACTTTTTCATTTTATTTTTCTTGCTTTTTTTTGCAACATGGCTGATATGAGAATGTTTTACATGACCTCACATGTATAATGGGAATCATATTGCTAGACTTATCAGTGGGTGGTAGAGGGGCTGGAATGAGGGGAAAACAAATTGGAATTCAAATTGAAAAAAAAAGATTGTTGAATAAATGATAATTTTTTTTCAAATAGGAAAAAAAATCTTCCTGTTCCAGAAAGAAGGAAATGGGCATCACTGTGACAATAATTATAGTGAAATTTTAATGTATCTTTTTAGATGGGCTTTTAAACTATAGCTAGTTAATGTATGTAAGCATGAGTGGACACAGAAAAATGCATAATTGCTCAGTGATTGCAATTTATTGCAACCCATAATTTTTATGCTAAATAGAACCCATTTTTGTCAAGGTTATTAGACTGTACTGAAAATACAGTATAGCTAGATTTCAGCAAAGTATTTGACAAACTCCTTTGTAGACAAGTTGGAAAGATCCAGAACAATAGCTTGGGAGCTAGAAAGGGCACTTAGAAGTCACTTAACCCAACCCTCTCATTTTTCTGATGCACATTGGTTTAATGTGACGTGTTCAACATGACACAAACAGTATATTTTAGTATCGATGAGATCCAAATAAAAATCCTCCAATTAAAAAATTTTCTATTCCACCACTACTACAGTAAGATATTTCCTGAAAGGACTGGACAACTCAACCGCAAAACAGAATCAAATTATCAACAGGTTGCTGTCTTGTTGTAAAGATGCTTTCTAAGGAATGCTTCAAAGATTTAGGTTTTGTCCTGTTGTAGATGAAGGCATAAATGACATGTTTATCAGATTTGTAGAACAAAAGTATGGGTAGATAATATATTGGATTAGAGAATTTGAATCCAAGTTCTCTATTGTTATAGCAATTGTGTTAAATGCAAAGTATCTGATTTCATTGGAAAGAATAATTATTACAAAGATGTAGCTAGAGAATTCATGTGCAAAATAAGTTGATCAATAGCAACATTAGTCAATAATGAGAAGGAAGTGAAAGATCATTTAAAATACAATAAATGTTTATGAACTTAGACTTAATAATTTAAAAATAATTTACAAAAATAGGCATATGAGACTTCCCTTATATTCTAATCCAAGAAGGCCCTATTTGACACATTCTTTTTAACTGTTGTTTCCACAGTTCAACAGTGATATTAGCACTTTCCAGGTATTCAAAAGAAAGGAAAAAGGATGACAAGGAGGTTGTTGCCTACACCATATCAAGTATATTTATGGCAACTCTGAATATTTATCTTGCCTAGACAATAAGAAACTAATAAAGAATCAAACATTGTTCTTAAATATTTGAATTCCTAAAACATGGGGAAAAGTAAAACTTATTCTGAGTGGTAAAAAAAAAATAAATTATACCAATAGGTATAAGTTGTAGGAAAGCAGATACTGGCTTTATGTTAAGAAATTTCCCAATAATTTGAATTCTAAAACTGGAAGAACTTCTTTAGGAAGCAATAGGTTTCCCAACACGAATTAGTGGTCAAGATGCTTGACCATTTATAAATGGTTTTGTCAAGGAGAGACATACATAAGATGAATGGTTTTGTTAAATATCTTCTAGTCTTTTCCAGCTGTGCTTCTGTGATTTCATGCTTCTGAAAACCACGAAGTCTTTTTGAAGCTGCTGTAACATTGAATCTTAAGGTCTCTTCTACAGAATTAATTTATAGGTTAAATTACCTTATCATAAAAATTCTTTTAATATTTTAGCAATTGCAATCTTTTGGATAAAGGTCAATACCACAGTTATCTTGAGTAGAATTCCAATGTATATTTAATTAGCTACCATTATTCTTAATATTTAAAAAATAAAACAGAATGGAAAAGACATTGTTATTTTTTCATTTCTCCAGAAATTAGGAATGTGTGCTATAGTTTTCTTGCAAATATCCCCAGAAGATCATGAATATCCTCTTTGCATGATTTTGAAATGATAGGTGAGCTTTCAAAAGTGTAGTCCAGAATGATGATTAACAGGGTGATTAAAAAGAAGTGGTGGGAAGTGGTAAACTATTTTGGTAAAACTCAGCTCCGGGGTCACTGCGTGTTTGATGACTGGTTGTCTAAGGACACCAGCATATGCCAAGTGGAGCAGATGGTTTTCTAGTAATCATTAATTATTATTTATATCTGAGAAGACCATAGAGTCCTAAAGGATAGTTCAGGAAAATGTAAAATAGCTCAGGAAATGAATTAACTAAAAGAAACATCCCTAGGAACAACAATGATGTAATGTCCAGCAGCATAGCAAAAAAAGAAATCAGGTTCTTTTAAGCAACCCGAATTGCCAAGGTGTGACGATTTGAAACCAACTTTAAATTTTAAAATCACTATCTTAAAATGTTAAGTAAAGCCTTATACCTGGATAACATATATTAAGAGTAGATTATATTGGGTAGGTTCTGGGCATGTAACTTCATTGATATGGGGATTCTGCAGTGAGGAAAATCTCTCTACCAATGCAGGTTGGTACCTTCTCAATAAAGTATAGCTTTAAAGAGTTACCAAGAACAGTGGTATCACTGTTAAAACAAGAACCATTAATCAATACATATGGGGACTTGTGGGGCATGTATTTTCTTAGTTTTAAAATGTAATATCCATTTTATTGTGTCTTTACTTGTTTTGTCAAAGATATCCCAATTATATTAATCTGGTTTGGGATACACTCAGCATATGTGGCCTATAAGCCATGTGTTTTATACCTCTGACCTAGAGCATTGATAAGTTAAGTGACTTGTCCAAGATAACACAGCCAGGATGTACCATGGTCAGGACTTTAAACCAAGTCCTGACTTTAAGGCCAGCTTTTTATCTTTCTCTCTCTATGTCATGCTGCTTCAAATATAGAGATTTAAATTATTTATATATTATGTTTATAAATATATATGTACATATATATATACACATAATGAGAGATACAGAGAGAGACAAAGACAGAGACTGACAGATGATGGGTCTATATATCTATTTCTATCAGTGTGTGTGTGTGTGTGTGTGTGTGTGCATGCATCTATCTATGTTTAGGTACATACATACATACACATATATACATATATAAACCTATAGATATAGCTACAGAAATATGTTTTGTACTTATTGAGTATTATGCATGGTATTATATGTAGATAAAGGTATCTTGGATATACACACATGTGCATACATACATATTCATGTAAACATAGACACATACACAGATATACACACGCATGTGTGTGTGAGAGAGTGTGTGAGTGTGTGTGTGTGTGTGTGTGTGTGTGTGTGAATACAGCCATACATATACACACACACACACACACACACAATGAATGGAGGAACTGGAAGAAAGCTTTGGGGATTTTCTTTCAATATGTAAAAAATAAAATAATAACATCTTCAACTACACCATAATAAGCAGTGGTCAATCTGTATCAAAAATTAAAATTTAAAAAGTTAAAGCTATTGTTTCTTTTTTTGCTATAATACTAATAACATTGAAATATTTTTTTTCAAGTTCAGGGATTTTTATTAAATTCAACTGACTATTGAAATAACATCACTTCTAAGCGTCAGGCCATTCAACAGATTCCACTGTTGGAATATTCTGGCAGGTGCCAGAATAACACTCTTTCCTTAACTGAATTAATTATATATTTGGACTTGAGTTCTTAGATGAAGCCAATTCAGCTTTGATTCACCACTGAGATATTGGAAATTTCAGTTTCCTAAAAGAAAATTCATAAAAGGAATGTTCATTTCTAAAATTAAAAATTAATATTTCCATTTCCTTGTTTCATATTGTGATAATTTCTGAGTATACTCTTCCTATTGAACTATTCTTTGTAACCAAGAAAATTATTTAAGCGATAGACAATCATGTCTAAGTGTATGCTACCTTCCACACCTGCAATTACTGTCTTTTTACTCAGATTTTTAGATCTAAGACTGATCTTACTTCTGGAAATGGCTTTCCAGAGAAATCTAATGGCCTAGAATTTGACAAAATCAATTTTCCTCATTTCCCTAGACAAGTAAAGAGTAACTGACTCTACAAGTCAAGGGGCCTTAATTTGACAAGGAAAAAGAAAATAAACAAATGAAAATAATTTACTCTGACCTTAAATGGTATACCTTTCCACTTAATAGAATGATGGTGTTATTCACAGAAAAGAATAATTACTAAATTACTAAGAGGCAGTTTACAATTTCATTCTATATAAAATAAGCATCATGTATATGTGTATATGTGTTTCTGTATGCATCACATATATTTTGTATATATGTAAGCATTACATAGGTTTATATCTATATGTATTTACATATATACATACACTGAAATATATGTATATATCTACATAAAGAATACTTTAGCTATTGTGATTTAGATCATTAAGACAACCATTTTACATATTTTTTCATTTTTCCCTAAAATGATTAAAATGATATGATAATGAAGGAAGCTTACCTCCTATATCAGGCCGAAGCTTGTTATCATAGCCTTGAAGCAAAGAATTGAGGATGTGGGTGACATCACCTTCATGTATCTTTGGTGCTAATACCCAAGTTTTGTTCACTGTTAAATCCTCATCATCTTCATCATCTGCTTTGTCCACACTAAAATTCAAATTTTAAAAAAAATTAAGAAAATGAAACTAACCCTTTTATATAACAGCAGAAAATTTTTGCAGCTAATTCTATCATCTTAGGAATTTATGTCAAGTAAAACAATGAATTACTGACTTCTACACCAATCTCTTTTTGTGACACTTAATTTAGAATTCATAATGTGAAATCCAACACAAATGTGCAATGTGAAATGAATAAAAATAAGTCACAAACAACACCCAATAAGGAGAAAATAAGACATAAGAGAAGAAAAGTTTACAATTTATGCTGAAATAACCTACTAAAAAGTGAATATATAGGAGAGGGTTAAAAAAGGAGATAGAACTGCAAATGTTTAATATTATTGCCTGAAATACTATATATGTATCTATTTCATGTCAGAAGAATAACTACAAAAAAAACTATCATAAAAGACAGATAAGTAGAGATATATACCATAGTATTATAAATAATCCCTGTTGTGTAAGCTTGATTTGATACTAAAATGGACCTCAGAAATATTAAATAATGGCCTAAATTCATAACTTATTTTACAGATGAGCAAATTAAGGCTCAGAGAATTTACCTGACTTGACCAACAAAACACAATTCTTTCAGTCAGGTGCTGAGGCCACTGAGAAATAGTAACTCATAAAAATAGTCAAAGATTATACTTATTTTTAATTTAATATAGAAAAGGCAGTGGTTTAGGTGTTGATGCAGAAACCATGGATAGAATTATAAAAAGGTCAAAAAATGCCTACAAGTAATTTTCTTTCCATGTCAGTCAAATGTGTCTGGACTTAGAGTCTCCCCCAGGGATGAAATTTTGCACCTCCATTATTCATCCCTCATACATCACCATAACCCTCTAGATCTATAGTCACAAAAACTGCATCAAAGTCATTCAATTGTATTGCCCTAAACAAGACATTCACAAAGGAAATATAAATCCATAATTAATTTGCTATCACAGATTTGAAGTTTCTTATTTTTACACAGGAGCCTGAAAAAAAGCTATTTTTTTCAACAAAAAAGTGGAAAATATCAGATAAAATTGGTTTATATTGCCTCTTTTTTAAAAAAAGAGGCTCTTTTCTGAAATATTTGTTTGACAATTAAGAATTTAAGACATTGGATTTATTGTTTGGTCTTTGAAGATCAAGTTTCTAGCTCTAGTTTCTGTGTGGAAGACTTTTTAATGGTGTCCTCAGACATCCTTGCAACCTGTTCCACTGTACTTGGTTCTTGCATTTCAAAGAAATGGTATTTTTGGAGAAATCTCAGTGTTATAAATTTGATAAGGAGGAAAATGACTATTTTAAACTTATTTGTACTACTTGGTGTGTTGGGAGGTAGTACCCTTAGGGTATCTCTCATTTGGCCATCTTTTTGGTTTTCTTTTCCTGAATTACATGGAAATTAGATATTTCAATTAAGTTATATCAAATAATAAACATCATGTTACAGAGAGATACAACTAACTTAGGTTGCAAAAATGTCAGTTATGGTTTTCACTTATTGAAAAAAATTATAGCAGTTCTTTCTAATTTCCTATTTATTTCTCTCTTAATCTTGTTAAATTCAAAACAATAAAACTATCAAAATATTGACAATTCTTACTGGTATTTTCTTCAGGGAACTTTTATGTCTAATTATACAGAGATGTTAAAGTTGACCTGAGATTTCAGGAGCTCTCCTGCTCTGGAGGTCATGTTTTGTTGTTGTTGTTACTTTTTTTTTGTTTGTTTTTGTTTTTGTTTTTCCAGTTTGAACTATCTGGTTGCTTGGGGCAAGGTTGACCAGTTAGAATGAACTATGCATATATAGTCTGCCATTGAAAATCTACAAATCAAAAATTCAATATAGAGAGAGAGAGTGTGTGTGTGTGTGTGTGTGTGTGTGTGTGTGTGTGTGTGTATGTTAGGTATAATACTCAAAATAGTTTGTTATGATAGTATATATAAATGTACATATTGATAAAATAAAGTTATAATTTTTCTCCAGTTCTAATATTCCCTTTTTAGGGTGGATGGCATATGTATTTGGGTTTTGTAATTGTATGAACATTTAGGATCATTATATATGTTCTTATATTGTAGTTTCCTGAATGTTTTAATTTCAGTAACTTCAAAAAATATATCACTTCTGATCAACTTAAGAAAGAACATGAAATTTATTTTTATGATGCACCTCAAAATCTTATAGCCTCCAGCACTACAAATTTTTCTTTGACAAATAGGAGAATAGTAGTTACTTGTAATGAATCTAAATTTGGGTATTAAATTAATAGGTAAAAGGAAATGCACAAAGCAGTGCGTCTTAGCAAAGCCTTTTTAGATTAGTGTGGCAGTACACATCTAAGCTCCCTGATGCTGGGAGGCTAAGCCTGTTGGATAACTTGAGTTTATGATTCTGAGCTACACTTGCTCTAAAGCTGATTCTGTGTCTTCACTGTCAGGCAATAATGTGGTGAACCCCCTGGGGCTTAGGGATGGAATGGCGGCCAGGAAGCTTATGGAGGCAGCCCTAATGGATGGATAATGGACAGCTAGGGAAACTATACAAGATCAGGGGATGGAGTATCTTGTGCAAGTAACATAAAGGAATATCGAGTCCTGATTCATAGAATCATAGAGTACAAGGAGAGGGTATGGTATAGAAGACTGAAAAGGTAGAAAGAATCCAGGTTGTATATGATCCACACACCTGGGAGAGTATCTACAATGCATAGTAAGGAAGTTTTACATGAAGCCTTATGTGATTAAAAATATTATTATATATGAATTGTTCTCCTGGTTGAGTGATAACAACAGTGTAAAGACAAATTTTAAACACTTAAATACTCAGATAAAAGTATTTGCCATCTATGATTCCAGGACACCAAAGTTCAAGCATGCTAGTCACATCCTCACAGAGATGTTACGGTCCATAAGTCTAGAATGAGACATATATTTTTGGACATGGCCAACATTGGAATATATTTTGTTTGACTATCCATTCTTTATAACAAGGATTTTGTTTTTCTTTTTAATTAGGGAGGGATTAAAAATATTTTAGGGATAGAGTTCCAAAACAAAAAGAGAACAGAAATAATGCCAGAAGAAATCACAATCAGGAAATGTTGGAAAGTTGTACATCATATTTATTTTATACTCAAAAAGAAAAGTAAACTCTTCATGATAGAGATCAAACGTTTGACATCCAATCCATTCCTGTTCTATAACATAGAAGAAAAAGCTAATTGTATTTTGTGTTTAAGTTCAGAATATATGTGCATAAGAAATATAATAGATATACATAATATGCATGTATACATATATGCATGTGTATATATCTATATTCATATATACATCCATGTTTGTAAATCTATACTCATATACACATTCATGTGTGCATGTACAGTGTTAAAACCTCTCCATCTCACTTATCACTGATTCATTCATCACCTAAGAACATATCTCAATTAACCAGCCAATTGAAAAATGTAAACCAAATTCAAAGTATTTCTCAACTACTGGGTCACTGGACAAACGGCAGTAACACTGCACAAGAAGACAAAGTCGATTTCAGTCTTGCTCCTTCTTATATTTCTAGCCTTCTTAAGTATTACTCCCGTCCATGCACTCTTTATAGCAACACTTTTAATCTTAGTTATGACATCTCAGAGACCACCTTCTTTAATCCATCTGTGCACCTTCTGAAACACTCCTCTTCAAAAGGTTACTTGCTCCTTGCTTAAATTCTCCTTCTTTCAGAATACAATGCTTCTCTTTATTCAGTTTAAGATCACATTACTTTTTTTTCTGTCACAATGAACTGTTGACTCATATGAGCTTACAATCTACAAAAGCACTTAGATCTTTGTTCTGGTACCTTCTTAAATTTTTATTATTAGATCGAACCTAGCATTGTAGTTTATTGAAGTTTTTTTTTAAGATTCCAATTCTGCCATTTTAAATATTAGCTACTTTCTTACCATCATATCATTCCAAAATATTATAATGATTTTAATTGCATCTTCATTCAATTTTTTTCTTTCTCTTATTTTTATTTTTAATGATGCATAGGGCAGGGTTAAGGACAGAAATCACCAAAATATTATGAAAATACTCCCTCCATTTTATCTTTACTTCATTAGGTAACACTTCTTGGCTTTATTTATTTATTTTTTTGTCAATCAAGATTAAGTGACTTCCCCAAGGTCACACAGCTAGTAAGTGTCCGAGGTTGGATTTGAATTCAGGTCTTGCTGACTTCAGGACTAGTGCTCTATGCACTGTACAGCCTAGCTGCCCCATACTTCTTGGCCTCTTGATCAACAGTACATTTATTTGCTCTCCTAAAAATCAGGAGCTATGCTGCATGCATCTTTTGAATTCAAAATGCCTAATTTACAGTTCTTTAACTTACCCATTTGAACATGTTGAGGCTTTTCCAAATGTTTTGCTTAAACCTAGATATTCCTGTCCATATTTCCCTTCTTTAGCAATTGATTGCAATTGAATTGAACTAAATTAAACTGAATTAAATTCAGAAATTGAACTGCTGTCTTCTATTGCATAATAACCTTTCTAAATGGTCACAAAATATCTGCTTAGAGCGCTGACCTCAAATCTGACAGGAAAGGAAGATCAAGTTCATTGTTGATAATTTTCATACCCTGATTTCTGAGAAGCAGGGAGAAATAATTTTCCTGTACTCAACCTTTTCGTTGTCTAGGGTGCCTCAAAGGTTTTTGATTAGTTCTATGGTTATATCTAAAATAATTTTTGTACCCTGGGGCATAATTTTTACAGGACAGAAGACAAATTCACTTAAAGTAAGCATTTTCATTGTATACATTAACAACAATATTGTAAGATGATAAACTGTGAATGATTTAGCTATTATCAGCAATAAAATGACCCAAGACAATACCAAAGGACTCATGACAAAAAAAAATGCTATTCACATCCAGAGAAAGTGCTGTTGGAGTCTGCACACAGATTGAGGCATACTATTTTTCA